CACTCTATTTTTAAAAGATGCCTAATACATTTGATGTTTCAAGATGTTAAATTTTACTCTGCCTGATATATACACATTACTATCTTTATGATCAAAAAAATCAAATAAATGTAAAAGCACGATAAAGATATTTTCAATATTTGATAATATTCAAGTAACGTGTCCAGCATTACTATTTTTTTCCTTCTTTTGAACTTCTTCTAAACACTTTTTCGTTATTCATTAATTATTGGTATAAATCATAAACATTATCTATTTTTTCTCTTTTTCTTAATAAATTTATCTTCGTATAAAAATTTTTGCAATTGAACCTAATCTGATATGTATTCGCTATTATTAATAATATGTGCGTATATGTTGTAACTCGTGTTTCTCCTAAAATACACCTCATACATTGTTTTTCCCCATAAATATTCAAGAGAAAAATTAATGTCTACTGTCTTCGTAAAAAGTCTCTTAATTATCATTAGTTAGACCTATGTTACCAGAATAATAGACTTCTAATCAATTTGATTCACGTTCAAGTTCGTCTCGAAAAACTGGAGCGCAAGCAAGAAGAAGGAAAAATAGATACTTCTGACACATCAGTCAAGCCTTTCCCATTATCGGGTCGAACATTGCCGGTGACGCAGAATTCTTATGCAAATAGGAAGGCATCACATTCGAGAAAGTAACCGTAGCCGCAGTGACGCACAAAGGGATTCAACAAACGTGCCAGCCAGCTGACAATGCCACGAGAGAAAAGAACGGGTAGTCGTTACGCTCGGGCGCGCTTATGCGCAAAAGCGGTGACGGCGACGTTACGCTTGGTTTTATTTACACCTGGCGCATATGCCTGCACTTTACCATCGGTGGCGCCCACGCATCTATCAAGATATATTTCTGACAATACCTTAATATTTTCGATCCCGATATTTCTGTGCACAGAACGCCTTTTCTACTTGGTCAAAATACGAATCAGAGATCGTAATCGTTACCTTGGTGTCTTATAAATACGTTCTAATAATTGAAACAAATTAGCTTCATAAAAATGAAATTGAATTCATTCTATATAGACATCACACGTTATCTAGATGCATACGGTACTCCAAGAAAAACTCCAAGAAATCAGCAGTTGAGAACACAAAAATGGTTTAAATAGATGAAATTATTCTCGAAGATCGACAGTAACAAATTCATCATACATAGCTGCATTAATTTAACGGTAATATATAAACATACAATCACGTTATTAATAAATTTGGAAATAATCGTTGAATCGACTAAATGCGTATTTGTTATAGTAATTGTGCAATCAGTTCAATTAATTATTTGCTTAAACAGTTTAAATAAATAATAAATAAATTAGATTATAATTGAAATTAATATTTTTAATTAATATTGTTATTATTATTACTGTTAATCTAATAGTACAGTACATTATAATCAAACTTTATTATAAGGATCCGATCAGTCAGCTAGATCAATTCTGCCATGATTACGGAGAATATGCTCCTTTTAATTTGATGATTCTGCTGACCGAAGTTTGTAGCTAAAATTACCGGCTATAATCCAAACAAATTAACGAGCGTGATATAAATAGACACTGCTATTCAGTTGAATCCAGGGAAAGTGGTGGAAGCCGCACGGAAACGAAGTAGAATATTATTCCTGCGTTAATTTTTTTAACTAAGCACGTTCTGTTTTATTGTGACCTCAAATTTGACCTTGACCTCAACCTTGAAAGTCATTTGAAGGTCAACTTGCGTTTTTTAGATGGGAACCTCTATTTTTTATTACACTATTTTCTTCTACCAATTAATTCGAACAACTGTTCTCTAAAATATTTTTTTATTTGCCAAATATTTTTTGAGATATTTGAGGAAAATTTGATAACTTTTACAATATCTAACTTACGATATCTCGCTAACTATTTATTGAAAGAAAAAGTGGTACTAGACTTTTTTGCTTTATTTAGTCTCAAGAATATACTGTTATAATAGTGCCCTGATTTTTGTTAATTTGATGATTTTGAAATTTCCAGAAATCAGTAAGTTAACAAAAGTCAAGGCGCTATTGTAACAATATATTCTTGAGACTAAATAAAGCAAGAAAGTCTAGTACAATTTTTTCTTCCGACAAATAGTTAGCGAGATATCGTAAGTTAAATATTGAAAAAGTTATCAAATTTTCTTCAAATATCTCAAAAAATATTAGGTAAATAAAAAAATGATTTAGACAAAAGTTGTTCAAAGTAATTGGGAGAAAAAACAGTGTAATAAAAAATAGAGTTTCCCATTTAAAAAACGCAAGTTGACCTTCAAATGACCTTCAAGGCTGAGTCAAATTTAAGGTCACAAAAAAACAGAACTTTATGAACCCTAAAACTTTTCGGGTCATTTTCCCTATAGTACATAGATTCTGAGATAGAGGGGGAGGGGTGCGTTACTTTTGGAAAATTTTGTATATTAATAAGCCTTTTAATGGATCGAACAAATAAATTTGACATATTTTTATTAGCTTTTAATCAGTTATATCTTGAATGATTTATAAAAGTTCTTTCTCTAATAATTTTTACACACGACGTACATTCGGAAACCATTATGTCATTTCAAACGTTTCGTATACAACATGAATGAGACGACTATCTTATACATAAAAAAGATATTAATATTAAATTTTGGAAAAAGTGAGTCTATCTCATTGAAATATATCAATAATAGGAGTACATAAAAGTAATAAGATTTTTAGTTTTATATATATTTTTTATTAATATTTTATTAATATTTTTTAAATATTTATATTAATATTTTATTAATTATTTTTATTAATATTTTATTAATATTTTTGTCATCTTTCAGATGAATGTTAAATTTTGCCTCTAAGAAAAATGATTAACATTTCGAGTTAATAAACTAATTGGCAATCCAATAGACTTTTGCAAACTTCAATGTATAAAGTGACATTTTTCTCATTTTCTTTTTCTCTTAATATACAAGTTTTACTTTAAAAGGTTTTCTTTTTTTTTTCAAATGACGGTAATATTAATGTGATACCTATGTTGACAGTGTTTATGATAAATGACATTTTTTAAATTATAGTTTTATTTTACATAGTGAACATGAAACTATGTACAGACATTTTTTCTTTTTACTGTATAATTGTAACTACATTATACTTTTAATGTATAATGTGGATCTATTATATTTTAAAAATATTAGAAATTATAGGAAAATAGTAGATATTTTCATAATTAAACTTCCTATGAAAGATATCAATGAGGAAACGATTATGCGAAATAGTATTAGAATCTCTTTTATCGATTTATCGTAAATTATTGTTCACATATCATTATAATTATGGTAAATGATTATTTGAATTCTCGTAAATACAATTTACATAACAAATGATAGGATAAAATAGAACTAGTAAATTGAATGTAACTAAAGAGAAGTTTCTCTACCGGGGTATAGAATATAACATGGATACAATTATGTACCTATGTCACGATATCGATTATGCTACTCAAGAGTTTATATGCGTTGCCTTGCATCCAACTTCCAATTGCATTAAACGTTAGAATTATATATACCGCTTTTATAAGATAAAAGAGGCCTTCATGTACTTGCTACCAATGCGCTCTATAGAATCAAAGATAATTAAATAGGATTCTGTGAAATATTATATCTTCTATTATATCTTCTCCTCTATTAAATTTTGAAAATGAACTTTATAAACAATCCTTTATATATATAACACGTCAAATATTGTAAGTATTGAAATATATAAATCTTAAGTTTATAATCGTAATATTAATGTATTATTACTTTAAACTTCGTAATTAAAGCATTTACAATAAAATATGTAATTATTTTAAATTTTATAACCTCTTTGACTAATTAAAATTCACCAGTTTAGATTTTTAAGAAATTCTATATTTTTCTTATTAATTACAAAATAAAATCTATATAAAATGCAAATAAACATTGTAATAATTAAATCAAATTAAATTAATTAAATCAAATTAAATCTAACGTTAAATAATACTAATCTTATTTATAGTCTTTGTGAAAAATTTCTTTATAAAGAATATATGGAGAATTATATTTTGTAAAAAATATATACTCGATTTATTTCTTGACATGTCGGGCAAAAATATAAAAACATATAAGAAGAATTATAAATAATATATCGGGAATATATTTTGTAAGAAATGTATCCTCAATATATTCTCTGACATGTTGTTGCATAAAACTATGATACATTGCGACAGTTACGAACAGTAATAGTTATTAAAGTTTTCATATTTCATAGCAAATTGATGTCATTCAAGATACTTCATAGAGATATCGAACGATATTTCAACCTTGACTGCATAATTGTTTGAAATGTACCTATTATTCGAAGTAACTTCGTTTGCAATAAAATATTTAATATGTACATGATATTTTAAGTTTCCGAACAAACTTTTCGTACAAATACCGAGAACCTTGTCCAAAGTGAGAAGTTATATTTTGTTATCGGTATATACCTATGTAATTAAAATTGGATTCAGTTTTCGAGAAAATATTATTCTTAAATATAATTATCTTATATTAATATTTCATACGGTTAAAATTTATATCAATTAATATTATAAACAAACCGGTTTAAATTAACTGTTTATGTTACATAATAATAGATGCTATAAATATTAGGTAGGACGCTATAAATATTACTTACAAAGGTTTGTCAGATTGCAAATAAGTGAAGGTTATTGCGAGTTGATAGTTTTGATTTTTTATAGAACTTTATATAACTTTTTATGTAGCTTCATAAATTTAAGAAGGTGCTTACTCACAATCTTAAAATTTATTTTTTTTTGTTTTAACCAAAACAAGGCTGCTGCGAAAACAAATCTCTTTTTTACCAGACATTAGCCCATCTGATTTTCATTTATTCAAATAAATGCAACACGGTTTGTCCGATGCACGATTTGCTAATGCCGAAGAAGTTTAAAAATAGGTCAACAATTTCATTACCTCATAAGATGCTCACATATCGTTTTTTAGAAACGGAATCCGACAATTCTGAAAGGCAGAAGATAGCAGAAGATTATAAAAAGTGACGGCAGATATTTTGATTAAAATGAATATATAATGAATGTGTAAATGAATATGTACGGTTTTTTTTATTGTTAATTAAATAAATATATTTAAAAGTCTGACGAACTTTTGCAAGTATCTAATATTTTATTACGTTTATCTAATATTTTATTATAACTATTATATTGATCTATAATAAAACAAAATATTTGCACAGACATTATTAATAATTTGAAAACCGCCAGATATATGAAAAAGCGTGATACTAATAACATAAAATAAATGATATAAAAAAATATAGAAATAATATAAAATAAATGTATATAATTATAAAAATCGTTTATACTATTGATACTAGTAATACTATTATTATATTAAATATTAATGTCTTTCAGAAGATATGTATGTAACAATACAAACTAGAAAAACAAATTATTTTCAACAATTTGCCAAGTAAAATTAATTTTTAATTAACAATTCAATACTAAATTCTTCGCGAATATATATATTTTCCTTGATTTTTTACTTAGTTGATAATAAATTTGATGCATCGAAGAAAACTTTTGTACGTAAGAGACAAATTCGTGTATTTCAAAATCATAAGTCTCTTATAATCTCCTATCCACGGTATGGCAATTGATTCAAGATCACATTATCATATACATTATACGAAAATATGTTGTTAAGTCTTTCAAATTCTCTGTTTTATATTTTGCAGCCAGTATCTTATGACAACAACAAGACTTTAGATAAACAGAAAAACGAAATCCGTTATACAGATTTATTAATGTTTTAATAAAAGTTGAAAGTGGTTTATATTAATCACGTTGTAAACTATTACATACAGGACAAAATGTCTCCTTGAACGCGTCTCATCGATATGCTATACTCGATCATGAATTTCTAACATAGGCTCTTTGAAAAAAGTAGTCCATTGCACGGATGTACGCGTGGTACATGTGCGTTATACAAAGTAGGTTTCGTACTATAAAGTTAAACTATGTTATTGAGCTTTGCGAGTAATCGGTCTGTCATACATATCATTGAAGCGAACAAAATCTTATTATTTTAAAATCTATATACACTGAACCAATTGTTTAAATATTTAAATAATTTGATATCTAATAAGACGAAAATCTTATGTTCGTATTATTTCTACAATGCAGGTCAACGATTATCCGATAAACGTATATAAAAAATAACGGCAAAACAAATCCTTTTAATTGAACCCGATCCAGAGTAGAAGATAATATACATATTACAACAAATGATTTATTCATTATCTGATATATAACTTATTTATTACTTTTTTTCTATCTCTTATATATTTATTTTTTTTATACAATTTTATACATATATTATACATATTATACAATATATATTTATTTTATACAAATATTAATTTTTTTATCTTCTTATTCGATTTGTGGCACTTTCGTACAGAATGCTCTTCGAGCACATCTTACACGTTTGACAGATAATTTGTCAGGACGCTGGAATCAACATACGATATATTGAATCGAATCATAAGTATTTTCCAGTGAAAATAACAAATAATTATTTTTGCTGAAAATTTGCAAAAAATGTCGATAAGCTGTCCGTTATTTGTGTGTATTTAAGTTATTATTAAAATTACTAATTCTCTCTTAGGTTCTCAATCATCATTAAAAAGAAATTATTATTAATAACGATGAATATATGTTGAACTAAGCATATTATGAAATTATTCTACACAAAGATAAATTTATAAACAAGAAAAAAGAAAAAGAGAGAGAGAGAGAAGACGGACGTTGTTTTCAATGCAATCCAACAATATGTTATGTTGCATTCATTGATAGTGAAACAATATCAAAATTAAATAAAAAAGAATTGCTAAATATTATAAATATTATTCTGATTTTAAAATTAAAAAAATGCGATAAATTAATTTTTTTTTCAATAATCACACGGACAATATCAAAACAATCGAAACGCTTTGCTGATTGGAGCGGACAAAAATTTCACACCGTTTCTCAACGAGCATGGTAGCAACAAGTTTGCAACACAGTCGCAATCCAGGCTATCTCCCGGAAGGACGGTGAGATTAACGTTACGAAGGGAAAAACATACTCTTTCATGATGAATTGCAACAATATAAAGAACCGTGAAAACCATATTTACATTCTTCGCGAACGTGCAGCCACGCTAAAGAACTTTCTCTACTCAAGAACGATAAAGATTTAACGACTTTTATATCACGAAAATGCACAATTATTCCCTTTATAGGACTGTTCGTGACTTGTTACAATGCACAGAAACACATAATTCGCAAGAAAATGATAGGTCGAAATTATAAACTGGATACCTTTCATTCAGACGATGACATTAATCTGCAAGATGTTAAGGATATATATATATTTTTTTTATTATTATTCTCCCTTAATTTACATATATTTTTTATTTCTTTGGATGAATTCTTTTTTTATTTTTATATAGTTGTTGCTAATATCTTTTTTTAAGCTGAAGCTAATGTTCGCCCCAATGTCATTTTTTAATTTCTTCCCTTTATTTTATATTTATTTTTTACATTTCATGAATTAAAAATGAAGTAATATTCCATTTGGATAAAATATGAAAAAAGCAGAAAAAAGTGTAAAAGATACATACAAAGATGCATGCTGAGTTACCACAGTGAAAAGAATTGCAACATGAAATTATGACGTCAACCGACACGCGGCGATTTAAATCTCGCATATGCATCTTAATAGGTTAAAAAGTTGTGTCCAATTGTTTTTCGTATATAAATATTTATATGATGTAGCGCATATGAAAACAATTATTTGTTTTTATTAATTCAAAAGAATTTACTTTCGTGAAATCGAATACTTACAATATTTAAAACCAGAAACTGATTTCAACATTTTTTAATTTTGCTCTCCTCCTTGCTGAACATATTAATACAATATTTAGCAACATAACGAAATGTCAAATATAAAATTCGTTGCTTATATGTATATTCTTAACACTAATTATTCATATATCTTCCTTCTATAAGAATGAAAAAAAATCAAGTTGAAATGAAAAAACAATTCTAAAACCATGACCAATTTATCTAAATTTCAAAAAACAAAAATTATAATCGTAATATATAATATATATCATATTCCTAATAAACACACTTTTCTTTCATTCACATATTTCTTGCCCTACCATGCATGCTAAATAAAAATAACGTAACTTACGTTATTAGCTGCTCACGGTAATATCATATTCGCTATTAGCATATAATCCTCATGAAGTGCGAAACCTCCTTGGACCTCTTCACTTTTTGCCTCCAACAGAGCGTCGCAAAGAAACGAAGAAAGATATGTCGCGAAATCAAAACTGGAAGAATCGTTCGATCACATTTTAACAAAACACACGCGCACTCGTAAATGACAACTTGGATGCTAACGAGTGTTCACACTCGCGCGAATAACTAACACGCTTCGCTCTCACGCAATCGACGTCGTATCCAGTGCGAATATCGCGCGACTCTACGCGCTGCAGTGCGAGCAGGCACGGCAACTCACGTCGTCCCGGCGCCACCGGTTGTCACGTACACAAGTCCCAGCAACCAATCCAGTGCGCCAACTGACGCGTTGAATGACCAATCCTGTGTCTTCTAGGTACTCTCATATGGGCTGCGTTCCAATATTCACTGCCAGCACTGAAATTCTATAGTATACGTGACACAAACTATGTATTTTCAGTATTGGCAGTGAATTTCGGAACGCGACCATGTATTTCTTTTCACCTTACTATATGTTCTTTTATTAATAAACCTCGAAATCGTATAATAACGTGAAATACAAATATCGGCGGCAACGATGAAAAATATTATTTAATTTGCTTTTTGCACTTTGCTTTTTAATATTATATACCTCTTATAAAAATTTAATATTGGTAAATTAATGATTAATTACTTATTTTGTATATTAAAAGTATTAATATTAGTAATTCCTGGTAATTCAATAACTGAACTCATAATAATCACAAATATTTAAATATTCGAAATGGCAATGATTAGACATTGTTACAGCAAAGTATTATTAGTTAGTCAGTAATAAATTAATGCTACTCAGTAATTATATCATTAATTATTAATAATTTTATATGCGGAAATAACGGTTATTAAAATATTATATAAAAATGATTATATATAGTATTTCAGAGTAATTTAATAGCGCATTATATCAGTCATTAGTACTTAAGAAGAATAATTACTAGGATTTCTTATAATATTTTCATATAATATATTTTGTACATAGTTTCCTGTATAGTCTCAGGATGTACTGAGAAGTTATTTCAACATATTTATTTATTTATCAAATATTATAAGTAATATTCTGAAAATAAGTATTTATAAAAATAATGTAAAGTTTTGGTAACAATAAAAATAAGTATAAATTTTCTCGTCATTATTATAAATTGTTCCATATCATATTTTTTAGTCTAACACTTATTGCGTAATTTAATATATATTCATTATATCGTTCAATTAAAAATTTAAAAACATTGGCTAGGATTGGATAAATTAATTTTTTTAATTAAGATAATTTGAAAATTAATGACTTATAAATTAACTAAGTTATTTATGTAACTAAGTTTATATTAAAAGTTACTTAAACAATTAACTCGTTTAAAAGTTAAATTAACTTATTAAAGTTAAAAGCTCATTCTGCGAAATAAGCGTTATATTTTTTTGTATAATTAACTTTTTAATTGTACATTAAATTTAAATGAAATCATAAAAAGTAGTATTTTATAAAAAATATGTATTTTTCTTTTCTTAATAATAAACATTATTTAAAAAATACAACAATTGTAATAGAGAGATTAAAGTGTTTAAAAATAAAACGCTCAATTAAAAACAAATAAAAACAAAAAAAATGAAAGGCAAAATGTGGCATGTAAATAAAGCGAATCAAACTGAACAGGAAAATCTTATATCATTTTACAAATTATAGAATAGTTATCAAAGAATTAATTAAACAATATTAGCAAACAAGTACGCGGAAACAGGAAGATAATTTCTGTAGGCAAAATTTCATCCAAAATGGCTCAAATTTGTTGATGATCTGTTGGCAACAGCAAACGGTGCATAATACTAACTACATAATTCCAATATTTACTGTCATGAAACATTCACCTTTGCCAGAATATCATTAACAAATTTTGAGTCATTTGTCATTTTGAATGAGATTTCGTTTGTAGAGACTATCCCATTACATCATGCATACGTGTTCACTAATAAGATTTAATTTATTTCTTAATAACTGTTATGAACCATTTTCGTACAACTTTAATATTAATGAATTATTCTAACTTGTGACTTGAAAAAAGCTAATAAGTTAACTTTAATGCATTTAAAAATAATTAACTTAAATTAAAATGTTTAAAAATAATTAATTAAAGTACATAATGCGTTTAAAATTAACTAAATTTAGTTAAAAGTTATTAATTTTTTAACTTAATCTTATAAATTTTTTAATAATCCTCATAACATTTCTAAAAGGTGTCCCAAAATTCACGCAAGAAGTAATTTTGATAGAAAACAGGTTTATAATTAAAAATTGTAAATTTTTTATTGATTCATATAGTATACAGTATAGGGTTATGTATGGAATAGCATATCGGGTAAATGGCCTCTACGGCTTTGCTGGCACATATGCACTCTTTTGTTGAAATTTTCCATGACCGTTTTGCATAAATATGACTGAATTTCGTTGATACAGCGCTCAATTTCCTCCTTCAAGGTCGTGGGCTTGTTGGCATAAACCTTAGACTTCAAAAAACCCCAAAGAAAAAAATCCAACGGCGTTAAATCGCATGATCTGGACGGCCAAATCTGATCACCAAAACGAGAAATTATGCGACCAGGAAATAACTCATGCAGTGAATTGTTTCTCGGGTTATGTGGCCCGTCTTGTTGAAACCACATATCGTCCACATCCATGTCTTGCAATTTAGGTACAAAAAACTGGATTATCATCGCGATAGCGAGCACCATTAACTGTTATTGCCTGTTATTGCCTGACCAGCCGCATTTTCGAAGAAAAATGGTCCGATGATGCCTCCTGCCCAAAATCCGCACCAAACAGTGACACGTTGTGGATGCATTTGTTTCTCAACAATCACTCGTGGATTTTCTGAACCCCAAATGCGACAATTTTGTCGATTAACCAAGCCATCAAGATGAAAATGAGCCTCATCGCTGAAAATGATTTTGTTCGAAAAATCAGCATCCACTTATTGTTGTTCCATAATCCATTCAACGAACTCTCTTCGCTGTGCATGGTCAGTAGGCTTCAGTTCATGAGTCAATTGAACTTTAAGCATGAAGATGCAAATTTTTCGTGAGAATATGCTGTAGAGAGCTTCTCGAAATGTCCAATTCTTGACCACGGTGTCAAATTGATGTTCCTGGACTCTCAACAACACTCTCATGAACTGCTTCGATGTTTTGTGTTGAATGACTTGTTGAAGGACGGCCAGAGTGTTTAAGATCACTAATTGATCCAGTCTCCCTAAATTTTTAAATTAATCTCTTCACAGTTGATGAAGCTAAATCACTATTCCGACCATATTTTGTACGAAAATTGCGAACTGTAGCTGCCAAACATTCATTATTTTTAAAATATTGCTCAATAATGAAAACGCGTTGTTCTTTCGTGTAGCATTCCATTTTAAAAATCCTGAACTGTCAGCTATCACGCTGACTTTTTTTCGTTGACAACACTTTACCACGCAAATGGCGCAAAATTCAAATCTTACGTGAATTTTGGGACACCCTTTATAAGGGTTCTTGATATTTTCATAGTTTATCACTTTCCTACTTTATTTTCATGACGTGCGTACGCATGCACGCATGTGTATATATAGGGTATTCAAAATCACCCGTCCACCCCTTCTAAAACCTAGAAAATTAATTTTTTTGGGGATCTGACAAATTTTTATAGCTATGGTCGGGTACGCTCTTTTGATTGGTGATATTATGAACTTCGGCTCCGACCGGAAGTGGGTTATCCAGATCGGAAAATCGTTTTTTAAAATGGAACATGCATATTTTTATTGCGGTTTCCAATTCTACGCATAAGAAACGTTTGAAAAAATTTTTTTCGTAAACGTCATTTTTTACCTCTAAATGACTTTTACATTTGAGTTTAAATCCGGTCCGCACGAAACCCGTTTCAAATTTCAGGGATTGAATTGTCGAGAAAATAACAATACTATCTTTGCTGTTTGTCAACATTCATCGTTATGTCGTATTATTTTATCGACAATTCAGTCCCTGAAGTTTGAAAAGGGTTTCGTGCGGAGTTGACCCAAGCTCAAATGTAAAGGTCATTTAGAGGTCAAAAATGAGGTTTTCGAAACAAATTTTTCAAACCAAAATTACGTTTTTTTTGTGTAGAATTGGAATCCGCAATAAAAATATTCATGTTCCATTTAAAAAAACGATCTTCCGATCTGAATAACCCACTTCCGGTCGGAGCCGGAAGTTGATATTATAAATCAAAAGAGCGTATCCGACATAGCTATAAAAATTTTTCAGATCCCCAAAAAAATTAATTTTCTAGATTTTAGAAAGAGTGGACGGGTGATTTCGGACACCCTATATATGGCAGGTGTCTCGAAACAAATACTGTGTGAATCTAAAAATATTGTATGTAAGATATTATCTCTCTTGAACTATTTTTTATATTCCTACTTGAAAATAGATAAAAACTTTTAAGATGCAGGTAGAAATATAAAATTTCCTGGAAAACTTGAGCTCTAAACTTATATTTATTAGTCATGTATCATCTATCTGATATACAGGGTGTTAAATTTCAAACATAACAGGTAAAAAATTTCGAAAACTATGAAAGATATTAAAAAAAACTAAAACACGTGTTACATCATTTCGAAGGGAAAAGAGAATGACATTATTAGTTTTTTATTCGAAGGGCATTTTCAAAGTCAGTCAAAGGTCAACTAAATTTTTTTAAATAGAAAGCCTAATTTCTTATTATATCTTCTTTTTCTACCAATTAATTTTAACAACTTTTATATGAAATATTTTTTTATTCGCCTAATATTTTTTGAAATATTTAAGGGAAACTTGGTAACTTTTTCAACATTTAACTTACGATATCTCGCTAACTATTTGTCGAAAGAGAAAATAATATTAAACTTTTTTACTTTATTTACTATTACGAATATATTACTATAATAGTGCCCTAACTTTTGTTAACTTATCGACCTTTGGAAATTTCAAAATTATTAAATTAACAAAAGTTAAGGCACAATTGTAGTAATATATTCTTGATAGTAAATAAAATAAAGTCTAATACTATTTTTTCTTTCGACGAATAGTTAGTGAGATATTGTAAGTTAAATGTTGAAAAAGTTATCAAGTTTCCCTTAAATATTTCAAAAAATATTAGACAAATAAACAAATATTTCAGACAAAAGATATTCAAATTAATTGGTAGAAAAAGAAGATGTAATAAAAAATTGGGC